ATTAATGTTATTATTACTGCCAGATAACATTCAATTTTTAGCGTTTTTTACAATCTTAAACAGAGCCACTTCCATGAGATATTCTAAGGATTTTTGTCTTAAGATGCGTGCCATTCCAAAGTTATATTTGTAAAATTACCATGAATACGATTGGCAAATTGATTTTAGACATCAATATGAAGGCAGCAGGAAGCTTTCCACGAGATTATATTGAATTAAAAAAGAATTCTCTTCAGTGTGTTTTGTGGTTTATCACATTTAAGCTCAATAAATATCCTTATAAGTGATTATCAATAAAAAATAATAATAAAAATAAATAATGACTTCATCATAATACATTGATTAAGGTCTCAAGAACATTAATTGTTACATAGATTACAATAGAATTTATATATTTATAGATTTTTATGATAACCAATAATTACTTGTTTAACAATTCTCCATTTAATTGATCAAAAATAAAATCCTAATATGACAGTTAATGAATCCTTTCTAATAAGAATCTTGCTTGTTTGTTTTATAATATAGCATAATTAATTTTGATTCATTGATACAGCAAGAGTATTATAAATAAAGCACTTGAATAATAAATATAAGAAATAAACCGTTAAGTACAAAAATGATTTTTCTACAATTTTGTATATAATAAAAAAAAAAATTAAAATTAATTAATGTTTCAAGTACATTTTTGTTTAATAAATAGCATTTACTATTTTTTTGTCATAAAATATATTTTAAAAGTTAATAACATTTATAATTGTAATTAAAATTAAATCATCATCTGTTGCCAGAAACTTAATAAAATAAAACAATACTTCTGATGACCGATGATGGAAGTTTAATTACAACAAGAAATTGATAAATGGTGGCAGAATGTGTTCGTTCAATAGAAATTTAGTTGTTTTCTGTCAACTTTTATCAATTTCAAAGTCAAATATTAATTAAATTATAATTTAAATTAGATAGACCTTTAAATGGCAATACATCTTTAGCTTAAGATTATTTTAACTGAAATAATCAGGAAGACATTATGAAACCAGATGAAGTTTTAATAGCTCAAAAAGCAATAATAATAAAAAAACACGAAGATAGTCAAGTCAACAAGACTAAATTGGAATTAAAAATATTCATTATAAACAATACGACTATTAGAAAAGATAATACATCCAATAAAACTGTCAAGATTGTTTTAAATACTTTGAATCTAAAACCAAAATAAAAACTGACCACCAATTAGTTAAGTTGTAAGTACCTGAATCACTTACTATAATGTAAATAGTGATTTATTAAACTTTGAATAAAGTTCAACTTTACAATAAAATCGTTACAACATAAAGGTAAACTTAGCATGATTCTCTGAACACGCTTTGTTGTTTTACCCTGAATTAATCATTAGAAAATGATGAACTGATAATTCAGAAAAGTTTTTAAATCAAATTATATCTGTTTTAAGTAAAATAAATATCATAATTATGTAGAGATGGTTGACCGTGATATAATATGAGAAGGGGTTGGTCAGGGGGTGCCGTTAAGTAAATACTAAATTTTAAAAAATAGTATTTTTAATTATTACGCCAATGTTTTAACCCACCTTGCAATTCTTCATCAGGGGTACAAAAGATACAAAATATAAAAGGTACATGGTGAAAATAAAATAAATGAATTATAAGTAGATATTAAATAAGAAAGACAACTGTTTAAGTTTATCAGACAACCGTTTATTATTTAATATCTACTTATAATTCATTTATTTTATTTTCAACATGTACCTTTTATATTTTGTATCTTTTGTTCCTCTGATGAAGATCTGCAAGGTGGGTTGAAACGTCAGTGTAATAATTAAAAATACTATTTTTTAAAATTTAGTATTTATTTGAACGCATTCCCGACTATAAATATCATAATTGATTTGATAGGAAAAAAGTTGAAAATTGAATTTATCAATAAGTACTCACACTTAAAAATCAAATATTCATAATAAATCTGATATCTAACTATGTAGTAAATGAGAGATTTTACATTAAAATAAACATAACTTGTAATATCAAAGTGAATTTAAAACCATTGCAAACTTGATATTCTTAAGTTATATAAAAGTGACCTTCAAAATCACTAGACTTAAATTTAAATGGCAGTAGAGGAAAAACTTGAGATGGGCAATAGTCGATAGTATCGATGATTTAGTAACTTCCCGACACAGACTTAAAGAGGATTTATTGTTGCTGTATTCTTGAGCTATTTTCTTTAAAATGCTGAATAAGCTTTGTAATAATTAACATTTACATTGGATACATTCTTAAAGACTTATGTTAAGGCATTAATAAAAATTATTTAATAAACAATTAAGAAAATTATTGATGAAAAAATACATTTAAATAGAAAAATAAATTGTATTTATTTCCCTGATAGTTGAATTCAAACAAGAAACATCGACGACATATAGGTACTATTAGTTAACAAAGGAGGAGAGAAATTTGTGTGCCCATTAATTTCCAAGATTCTAAATTTAATTTGATAATAAGGAATAGTTTAAAATATAATATAACTGCATCCTTGAAGATTTTATAATTTTTTTTTTTTGAGGTAAATATAACATTTCTTCCATTGGCACAACTGGGGTTGTAAAAGTATTGCTAAGGAAGTAATTTGAGATTGAATTATTTTTTACTTTGTTCAATTGAGGGTCAGTTTTATATACTGATAAGAATAGTTTTAAACACACTTCTTCAAACTTCTATCCATTTATTTTCTTAATGTGGCATTTCCATTATACAATAACCATTTTCCATTATCAAATATATAACTTTTACATTGTTATAACTACATCACACACTTCAACAAAGTGGTAGAAGAATGAAGGCTTGTTATTAAAATTATTATTTTAAGTATATAAAATTTTAATATAATTTGTGTCTAACGGGAGGATATGAACTATGATAGTTTTAAACTATCGATATATCAATAGTACTGTCGACTATCGCCCATCTCTAGTAAAAACAGTAACCTTATATCTGTTTAGCTCAGCAGTTATTTTAATTGAAACAAACCAAAATAGATTTTCTTTTAAAACACTATCCAGATCGAAGCATATCTATAGTATGCGAATAAATTATCACAGAATAACTAAAGAATGTTAGAAAAGTGTTTTTATAATTATGAGAATGTACTAAAATATTCATTAAACAATAAATTATATAAATATACAAGTAGGATGGCCTATGGAATATGTGTAGAATGGACTTTGAATATGTGAATCATAATGCGATTAATACTCAGAAGAGGTTAAATAAAACACAACTTTTAAACAATTTTCTTATAAAATAAATATTTTAAGAAATACAGAATTCTTCTATTTTTCAACCAACCAAAGAAGTTTAAAACATAAGAATTATATTTGACACTAAATTAGTAATATTTGTGATGTTGTCTTTCATAATTATAAAAATACTCCTCAATATTATATATATTTCTTAATTATAAATATTTCTTAAAACCCTGTTCTTTTTAGCTATTAAAATTAATTATTATTTCAATTTTCAAATTGGTTACTGCTTATATTTTTCTTTGATAACTGTTAAAAATTTTAAGATCTTTTCCAAAGATCTAAACAGTTTCATCAATGAATGAACTTCATACTCAAATGGCATAGAAACTGAGTAGGAGATATAGAGGATGAACAAAATTCATATTTCTAATTTGGTTAAATAAAAAAACAAAAAAAAACATGTTATACAAAGATACTAAAACAAGTTTATAATAATTAATAATAGATATTTTCATTCAAGAAAAAAAAATAGAACTGTTTTTACATAGAAGAAATTATTCGTAATAAAAATAAAAGATTATAAACATGTTGATAATGGAAAAGTCAAGGTGTGTAATAAAATACTTATAATAAAACAGTGTTTATAATTGAAATAAATAAAACAGAACAAAAATGAAAATTATTAAATTGCAGAAGCGATCCAATATTAATCCACAAATAAATACATAATTGTCGATTTCAAACTCTGAAATCATTTTAATTCTCTTCACTTGAAACATTTATTAGAAGAATTGATAAAATTTGTATAAAAAAACAAACCAAATTGAACTTACTATTAAAGCAAAGTGGAATAATGTTCCAGCTCGTAGTTAGAGGTTTAACGTTTTGCTCAACAATTTTCTATAAATTAAGTCTTTTGAGGCAATGACAGATAATTATCAAATATATTTCTTGGAACAGAATGAAACTAATTCCATAGAGGCTAATAATTAATAGATGAAGGTCAAAATTTGAATACCTAATGGCTTAATTATAGATAAAAAAAATATTGAAAGAAGATTAACTTTGTGATTCCGATTAATTTTAAGAAATCAAATGGTAAAAGATTCTATTTACAATTGATAATGATAGAAGGTTTAAATTTTAAAATCCATATATGAGAAACTAAACAAGAATAGCTTTAACATTAAAAAGATAAGCAATTAAACCTTTATTTTAACTATTAAAAATATATTTGTACTGATAAATTATTTAATATAAGTTTGATTTGATCTGTCGATAAGAATATCATTCTAAGAGAAACAGCTCGTAATTACAAATGTTCAGCAGATAATAAACATAACAGTAATACACTTATTTACAACTAAGGGTAGAAATGAAATTCTCCTAGTAAAGGAATTTCAATGCTCTTTGTTACGCAGAAAAATATATTTAAACAATCTCACTAAAACAAATATCAAACTAACCTAAGTAACTGATACACTCTTTGGTATTAGCTTTCTAAATTCATTCATGTCATGGACCCAGCCTGTGTAAGCATATACCACCTGTTATCGGGTACAATGCCTCTTGGTGGATTATATAATTAAATAAATAGATTATAGTACTATACATCAGTGTTCTGATAATATAAATTAAAAATTGTATGTGTCTTCATAAGATATACTTATTCCATTTGGAATAAAACTTCAGATAAGTTAAACAAAACTAAAAGTAAAAAAAAAAATTAAAATAATCCCATCTCGTGTAAATTACAACACATTTCTTATCAAATAAATATACCTCAAAGCATTTATTGATACTCATCATCAGATGATAACAGCATTGTTTTTTCATTATATCCGCTGATAGTTGCCACCTTCTGGCTCGTTTGTTTGCGTTGGATTTGAGGAGGAGGAGCTTCTTCAGGATCGTAAGTACTTACTCTTATTCCTCTCTGTGAATGCGAACCTGGAACCATTATTTATTCATTTATAAACATTATCGATTTAATATTTTTTTATTTACAAAATTTATGATGAACATCTATCACACATCTCCATTATACCACTAGGCATGGAGGCGATGCCATGAAGAAACGACAGATTATTAGTATACACTAGCAATACCATGTTCCAGATACTTCGGAAGTCAATCATATTGGGAGATAAATCAAATGCCTAAAACATTTTAGAAAATATGATGAAGCTATAAAAAAGAAAAAGAAAAAAAAAAGGAGAATTTCTGTCCCTAATATTTTAATTGAAACATAAGTGCTAAAAAACTTAAAAAATCTGATTATGATGGGTATCATATCAGACCTTTGAACATGATTTTAAGTCAATTGTTTAGTTTAATGGTAAAATGCCAGTTAGATTACATAGTTAGGGGAATTGAATTATTGGATTATTTTATTCCTAAAGCTTAATCACAATGTAAAGTCATGTTTGCTAGAAACTTTTGTAATTGTATTCATACTGAACAGTTACGCTAACATTAGAATGGGTCTCCAAGAATAAAGCCGAGTTTCCTGGGCAGAGTGATTTTGAATATCCCAATTAAAGGAACGTAGGAGGAAATTATTACGACTCTTAACAACATAGATCCTATCTTAGTATATTTTCTTCCTCTCATTAGTAATTCAGTCTACATGATATGAAGAAAAGCCTTTGTAAAAAGTAGTGATTTTTTTTGTTTTTTAATTTGTAGTCCTTATGCAGAATTTTATTCATTCCAAGTAAAACATTTTTCAAATTTCTTCTTTTAACAACTAAGTGAAGATGTTGCTGTGAAAATACTAATTTTTTATCAGTTATTTTAACACTTTAAAATTAATGAAGTATTTAAATTCTCAATGTTCCTTTTCACGAGGCCATAAAATTTCAAATCACTAACAAATTCATAATTTTTTTTTCTTTATATCTTGTTAACATATAGATAGATTTTTGAGGATCAAACTATTGTCTGACTATTTAGAAATAGTATAAAAGAAAAACTAAAGGGATAATTCTCCAATTCTTCATTTCCTTTTTACCTGCCTCTAAATAAATGAACCTATAAAACTGATCATTTCATGAATCTCTGAGAAAAAGCAAACAAAATCTCATAAAAATCAGAAAATAATTTAAATATAAAGGAAGGAGATGGTCCGGGGTTGCGGTCATAAATAGGCTACATAGTGGTAAAACTATTTTATTGAAAGCCTTAGAGATAAAAGTCAGAAAATAGTTTGAACCCTGAAAAAAATACAATCTCCTAGTAATAATAGATGTTAGAATTTAAAAAAAACCAAAGAAAAGTGGTTTCCTTTTTAGACTTCTTCTTAGACCTCAAATAATAGTTTGAACCCAAAATTTCTTTCAATTCAAAAGATATAAAAGGAAAAGTGAAGTTTTTTCACACGCATTCCTTGTAATAATGAATAAAAACACAATATACAACAGTTTTGTTTTAAACAAGTCTTCAATATCCACTAAAACATCACTCTAATAGTTTCTTTCTTTATCTTCCAGTTCTTCATTCTTTCTGAAAGGATCTGGCTTTTATTCCCTAAGCCCAATTTTAGAAACACAGGAATCCTTAATTAAAAAAAATTCTGTATTTTTCCTTAAACATAAATCCTTTGAAATACCGTGTTTTTTATAAGTTTATTTCTTTATATAAATTCTAACGCTAACTAACTCAATTAATTCACATGAAACATTAAAAGAAACTGCTTAATTTCTTGGTAATGACTTTCTTTTTTTTTATAAATTATAGCATATTTGAACCTTGTAAGCCTTGAAAATATAAATTTAACCAATGCAAGGTTACCATCTGATCAAAAGTGAAGAAAGTTATCCAGTTACTTATCTGATGACACATTTCAGTAAAAAATTGAGTAAGGAAATGTTAGAATTTAGAAGTGTATACATTTTTAAATAGTGTATTTTATTTGTGACTAGCTTTACCCAGCCACGCGCTACTGTGACTTAGCCTGGCAAAATGAAAAAGGAAGAAAATAGAAAGCACATATGAGTAGATTAGTAGCAAAGGACATCTGTCATTTTTAAAAAGTTTGGAAACAAATTTGTCTGTAAAATGGCTTCAATTAAAACTAATTTTAATGATTTTTTTTCTCATGATTTAAATTGAACATTTATAATCATCTGAGTGAATACGCCGTCATTCATAATCATCAGAAACAGTCTGAGTTGAACTTACAAAACTAAATAAAAAAAAATTAATATAAAAAACGTATAATAGTATTGACCTACGCTTATAAGGAGAATCATATAACTTCTTCAAATGATAATTTCAATTACTGTAGTAATTTTAAAATTTTCGAATAAAAAAAAAAAAAATGCTTGCCGACCTTCGGTAGTGAGGAAGCAGGAAGCAAAAGTAAACAGCCTTTTCTGAAGAGAAAGCAGTAAATGTTTAAAACTCTATAACTCTGCAACAAACCGTCTGATTTCGATGATTTTTTTTTATTTCGTCAGAAATCTTTCACATAAATATGGGTATTATCAATCAAAAATTGTGTACTTTTTTAGTTATCAGCAAATAGAATATTGAATCCATCGTAACATTTTTCAGCTTGTTTTCGGGAAAGTATGTTATACACATAAATTAAAAGAGTTTCAAGGAGAAGACTTTAGCCAAGTTTCGTTAAAATCGGTAAAGCAGTTTTGGCGCTACAGTTTATAGCGACACACTTTTTTGTGGCTTTGAACAGAAAAACATTTACATTTTTATTTTTTTTACATATATAAAATTATCGTAAGACAGAACTACTATGCCAGAAACCTTCTCAGGATTGTACTGAACAACTTCCCAAAGTTTCATGGCGATCGGATGGTTTAATAATGCACAAAGGACAAACAGACATTCATTTATATATATATATATATATATATATATATATATATATATATTATATAGATAATCATTAAAATTATGATTTTATCCTTAAATTGTCTCTCTTCTTGCATTGCTGTAATCTTAGATCATTAGTTCTTACCTATTGACAAATAAAGCTTAATTTTTCCAATTCTACACCATTCTTGGTGAAATTACAGACAAAATAAGCATTAGCATCAGAATTATTTTCTCATCATAACACACATGATCAATAATGACATTCCAGATTAATTATTATACATTTTTAGCAATGTCTAACGATGAGGTTACGCATAATATTAAGTTAGTTGAGTGAGAAAACCATATACTAGGCAATTAAATTTTTAATGTTTAAAACATTATATTTAACTCCAACGTTCTGCTGGTTTTCAAACCTTTATTGCCCTAAAGTTAAACTTGGTCTTGAAAAAACAGGTGCTATTAACTGGAAGTAACATGACAGATTTTAAATATGTCAATAACATTTTATTACAAAGATAAATAATCTAAGATGTTATAACCTAGTTTAGGATAGACTAAAGAGTTTTTAATAAAAATTATATATATTTTTAAAAGTTTAGTTTGAATATTAATATTAGAAATTTGATGTCAATAGTTCAACCACGCATTTGAGGAGTCTGCAGCAAGACTGGGCTTAATGGTGAATGTTGAAAAAACGAAATATATGTGCACCCTACCTGCCCATGAGGATGGTGGGAGTCATGTCTCGATAGGTTGCCATAGATTTGAAAGAGTGGAAACATTTATATACCTAGGATCACATATCAACCGTAATAACTGCATTGAAGAAGAAATATAAAGACGAATCCTCTCCCCAAACCTCACCTATTTCTCCCTCCATAAACTCTTGAGAAGTAGTGTGTTGTAGGAGGCCTCGAAAGTGAGAATTTATAAGACAATTATACGATCAGTTTTTATATATGGCTCAGAATGTTGGACTACAACTAAAGCTCTTGAGCATCTCCTTCTCCGTTTTGAAAGAAAAGTGCTTCGCCATATATATGGTGGTATATATGAGGGAGGTGCATGGAGAAGAAGAACGAATGCTGAGTTAAGAGCGAGGTACAAAGAAATAGACGTAACAACATTCGTAAAGGTATCAAGACTTCGCTAGGCTGGTCACGTCATAAGGATGGATCCAAACGAAGTTCCTTACAAGATCTTAGCTGGGCAAATGTATGGTACCAGGCAGGTTGGACGCCCCAGACTTCGCTGGGAAGACTGCGTGGCTGCAGACGCGAGATCTCTGCTCGATTTTATGAGCTGGAAGGCAGCAGCACGGAACAGGGAGGACTGGCGGTCTCAGCTTCAGCAGGCTATGGTTCGACTAGTGTGGCGTAACGCCAAATAAGAAGAAGAGTTCAACCACGACTGAGTTTAGCAATTATTTGAAACTCAATTTTATTTTTTCCCTTAACTTCCGATATTACTTACAAAATATTCACAAATAAATACACATATTTGTGTAAATATTCATGAGAAATCTCACATAAAGTGTGTAAAATGCTATGATAAAGCCAGTTGTCATTTACAGCTGCGAGACCTACACTTTCTTTATCTTTCCATTATACGAAAAAAAAAAAAAAAAATGAGCAAGAAAGTTGTTTAAAATTAACTATTCTTTAAGAATATATATTACTTTAAACAGAAGAATGGTTAGGATTGAAATGGTAAAAAATAAATAATTGTATTTATTTTTACATTGGCGAATGTATAAATGGTACTTATCTAATAGCGGGTAGCGTCCAAGTGCTATCTGCCAATGTTTATAACCATAGCACTGATAAGCTATTCGTATTCATATTTATTGTATTATATTCATATTATTATATGAATATTATATATATATTATAGATATATTCATATTATTATATTAGGGTTCCCAGCATCTACTTCGACGACTTTGCCAGGCCCTCCAATTTTTTTATTGGTACCTGTATAACATTTCATGGGCACAAACTTCTCTTAAAAATTTATTCCGTGCTACGACAGTTCCGATGGAGTTTGAGCTGCTCTTTCCCCCACTGTATTGTAGTTAAATTATGGGACCACCCATAAATGAATTTTAA